TCTTCTAAGAGCCAAGTTCCATCTTGAAGTAATCCTTAAGGTACATTTTTAAATCATAGCCCTATTTCTAACAAGAAACTTGATCACTCCAAGTTATGTTGTCCACTAATTTTTAGCAAACCTTTCTAACTTGCATGTCATATTTGTGGTGCAACTATTTTCCAATAGTCATGGTGAGCTCTTCCAATTCCAATTTTATTATTTAACAGATTAGAGTAAAGTTTGCATGGTATACTACATTTCTAATTCTAATTTGAAAGCACATAGTAGGTGCACCCATGATTCTTTCCCTCTTACATTGTGATCCCTAGTTTTTTAGTTTTCAAACTCCTCTAAGACACACAACTCCTTTCCACAACTTGTACTTTTTCTCCTTTTTCTTGTCATCATCAAAAAATGTTAGGAAATTTTCAATCTGCTCTAAGAATAATGCTCTAGTAATGACAGCCTGCAGTTCTTTGGATCTGAATTTTATGTCACTAAGAACTTAATAAGACAGAAATCATGATAAGATTGATCTGAGTTAGCAGCTCAATAGGCAGAGTTCAAGTAAAGTGTTCTCTCCTAATATAAAATTAGAAGTACCATAGGGGAAAAGGTAATAATTACCTATGGAATTGAAAGCTTGGAGTTGATATATTCCTTCATCTATTCAAGAATAAGGTCAGATAAAATTATGGCTTCATTATAGGTGATATGAAATACAAGGAAGTGATCAATACTAGTCAATCAACTTTTTGGAATATGGAGAGGGGATACATATTTTGGGATAGATTCAATAAACATTTTTGTGAATCCTTCAATTAAAATGGTAAGTCTAGTCAAGACAATTTGGAAGAATAAATTCATCATTTTTTTTCTCTTTGAGGATTAGAAGGCAATCCATCATTGGAATTGCCAAGGCCTCTATTATAATTCAACTTGTGATTCAATGTTTTTCCTATAAATGGGGAACAAAGGTGCTATTTGGAAAAAATATGTTGCCAAAAAAATCATGTACTAATTCATTTAGGACAATTTGAGGACTAATTAGTGTTTTAAATCCAAAGTCTTGAATTTAGTACATGATTAGGTGTAGGGAATAATCAATGGCATCAATGGAAAGTCCATTTTCAAGGACTTCAGGCCGTTCACATTCTAGTTTCATTGGATTATCTGCTTTAGGATTTTCTTCTCATAAATGTTTCTCGTCAAAATCAGAAATTATGATCTATCCACGGGTTAATTATCTATTGCACCTAAAAATTATAAACATATTGTTAGAAACTCTAGAATCAGGACAATGGAATCAATTTAAGTTAGAATAACTCCCCATGATTGAGGAAAAAATTACTCAAAGATTAGTGATAAATCTTCATTATCATGAGTTAATAATTAGTAAATAATATATTTTTAGCCTTAACTCATGATAAATAGACATATATTTGTGTTAAATTGTGCAAAGTGGTTTTCAATTAAATAACATGAACTTTTAATTGATTATGTGGTTTTCTACGAATTTATATGATTTTTATAGTCTTATTTTTGAGATAAATAAAGAAAAAGAAATTAAAATAAAAATAGAGCAAAAGGGGGGGACTCACCAATTAGCCGAGTCCGCAAATAGGTCGGAAGCACAATCGAGGGGAGTCGCTAATAAGGGCTTGAGCGGCTAGGATCTATTGGGGGACGTGTGCGTCACTCCCCTTCCACGTCATTGGTGGCTAGTCAGCTATGGGGGAAAAAGTGGTCATACACATGAGAGAAAGAGACTCATTACTTGTAAATATTCACCCAAAACTTTAGCACACAAGTAATGTGAGACTAAACCCACATCACACCTTTCCCTGAAAGGTTTCAAAAAATTTAATACTTAAACTACCCCTTAGTTATAATAGAGATATACTATGATGATGTCACTTGATAAACACATTAGAGTACTTATTTCAATCTCTCTCATATAGACGAGCAACTGGCACGAATTTGAATCCTTCTAAAGTTAAAATTCGTATTTTTATCTAATTATCACGACTTTTCTATAGATCGCTAGTGAAGAATTAAGTTGCCAGAATCGCTAAATCACTAACAAAAATCTTGTCAACGTGATTCGTAGATCATTGTTATCAAAATTGTTAAATGATTTGTGATAAAAAGATCGCGAATCTATTGAGTAAATCATCTCTAATTAATCGACGAACAAGTTGTCATTGGGAAAAAGATGATCTGCCAAGAGACGAGTTGCCACTTCTTGAGAGCATACTAAATGTAATGAAAAGCCTCTTCTTGTTGTGCGGACTTGAAGATGAAGCTCCTTAACACATGCCCCACCTCCATCTAGCTCCTCTCTATCGGGTGATAGCTGCCAAAAAGCCACAAAATTATTATTTTTTTGCTCCACTAGGTGACAACTGCTACAGACAATTTGATGACTTATTTCATTGATCTCTATACTTCGCAAGGAGATCTAGAGATTGTCCATGTCATTCTTGTGCAAGAAGAGCTTTCAAAGTTGTGAACACTACATAACAATCCTCCCGAACGCTTAAGATTCTAGTGCATCGCCGATGCATCACTACTACGATGTCAAAACTCTATTTTCCTACTTTCAACTTAATTTTTACTTTATTTAGTAATAATTTTTGTGATTTAAATTTATCAAAGTATATCTCATTCAATTACAATTCTTCTCACTTTTATAGATCTTAATTTGATCAATTAAATCGTATATAATCGCTTAAATAAGAATTGCTAGGTATAATTTTATTTTTTTCTGATTTGCAATTGTCGAGCACTAATGTCATCTTGACGTCTGCACCCTTATTTCTCTTTTTCGTAAATTTTAAATATATTCTATTTTTATTTCTTAGTATAAAATTCATAGAAAAATATATTCTTTGAGAAAAATTTTAAAAATTATCTGATATTATATTACATCCTTATGATCTCAAACTATTTTTGGAAGTTTTATTGAATTATAATTGATAGATTTGTTTACAAATACTTCTAAATATCTAAAAATTAGTACTTTCTAATTTATAAATTTAAATTTATGTCATTTGCTGTACAATGACTAAGTCACATCAATTAAATATTTAAAAATTAAATATTTTATGTTAATCAAGATCTAAAAATATAGACGATCAATTTTTGATTGCAAAAAATAAGTGTGATTTTGAACCTTCAAAGGACTACCTTGAGAGAAATAATTTATATGCTTAACTCACATCGTAGAAGATGATAAAATGTAATCTTTTGAAGCTTCAGTTTAATATATAAGCAAACATTGGTGTTCAAGAAATTTCAGGGTTCAAGTTTGATCTCAAGGATTGAAGATTGAAAGATCAGAGCTATTGATTAGTGACAAGGAGAATGGGTCGTTTGGTTTAGGCCTCACCCTTGGAGATGAAATGAAGGATCAAATTTGATGAAAATATTTCAGATTATGGCCCCATTTGATATGGCTCAAATGATTGATCAAATGGACAAAAATTAGGAAGAGTGCAAAAAAAATCATATTTTGATGAAATAAAATTGCAATGTGAAATTCATTCATCCTATTATAAATTTCACTAATCTATTGCAGATAAACTACAACAATTGATAAAAATTATTTCATAAAATATATTAAAATCCCTATACATTTCTATTATATTTTCTCTTCACTGATTTTCTACCTGCTACTTGGTTCCTTTGTTCTTCAATTGTTCTGATTTTATAACTTGATGACAAACCACAGATTAATTAACTCAGTATAAGGAAAACAAGGAATGAAATTGAAGCACCAGTCAACACATATTTGTTTATCAGGAACATGCATTTGATCAATTTGAAAAAAATTCAAATTATATTTCTAAAATTAGAAGTAGTCTTAGAATTTACATTTTAAAATTGAATTGAACGGGATCTAAGTTTTTCTACATATTTCATAATTTATTCTAAAATTTATAAATTTTAATGTTTACAAGGGTTTAATAAAAATATCTGCTTATGGAAATTGATTATCCATGAAAAGCAAGGCAAAATCATTTTCAGTCACATAATTTAAATAAATGATAATTGATATATTATCGAAGATCAATTACTCTTTATGAATAATAATTGATATTCTAGTTCTCCCTAAGCTAACTATTCTGCTTTTGTCCTGCAATGGGAATTTCATGAGATTGCTCTTTATTGATATTTGACCCATCAAAATGTAAGTGAAGCACAATTTGGCTATTCTGTATTCGGCTTCTGTCGTACATATTATTAACCTTGTGTTTATACGTCTTTCCTCCATTCGTAATTTCTTTCTCTCAAGTTCTTCTAAGACAAAGAGGAACTTAATTTTAAGGCTGAAAATCTTTGATTGGAAAGCTAGAACTGTCATAGCAGAACTACACCAAAAATTGAGAATGTAATAAATATGAACAAACGATTGAATTTATGGAATCTTATGTTCATATCAATTATAATCTAAACATATAAATCAAAACACCCCTTCTTGATGCCTAAAAAGCTATTGGAAAAAATTATTTAATCGTGTTTTAATTATTGTGATTAATACAACAGTTTGTAGATGTAATCAGTGGCCTAATTGATTACTTTACAGTCTTAAATACCCGATTAATTCACTTATACCATCAAGAGCAATCAACGAAGAGCACCTGTTGCCGCCTAGAGTTCATTCGAATCTAAGCCACGCGGGCATTTCATGAACCTCCTCGGTTCGCTCGTGAAGAGGCATATTGTTGTAAAGAGAGCTTGGCGGATTAGCATATCCAGGAGCCTCTTCCACCTCTTTTCCCAACAAAGATGATTAGAAAACGAACGCGGAACAGATTGAAGCCGGGTAGATCGACGGGGTATAAGACAACGACGCCGGGATAATACAGTAAAAGGAAGTCAGTGCATCATATCACATTTCAGTAAGGGACAATTCTACACATAAAACTTCACGGCAAGCCCTGTTTTTATATCAATATTCCTAAACGCATCACTGGTCACATATAGGTTGACGATTTACACAGCGCATTTCCCTGTCAGCGTACTTCCAAAGTACTCTTGGTGAACTCAATAATGGTTGATCTCTGTGATCTGTCAGCGCAGGCCCTGAGATTTATTCCAAACGAAAGACTAGGTTTCTTCGGCAGTGGTAACACACAGTTTTTACTTGTCAGCATGGAGATGACAGAATTCATGGTAGGTCTGTCCACCGAATTTTCCTCGATGCACAGTAACCCTACTTGGATACACTTCAGCACTTCGTCGGCCTGGAATGAGCTCCCAATTGCCGGGTCAAGAAGTTCCACGGCCTTGCCTTCTTTCCACAGTTTCCACACCTGCACCATTGACTCACGAGCATATTAATTGTAAGGGAATGGGAAACATTCAAAGAGAAATCCGCAGAAAATATTATTCCGCAACCACTCCCTTGGACTGAATCTCATCTAGCAGCACAGCAAATCGCTCGAACTCACATATCCAAGAAGATTCAGCGACTCCCTGCATGGATAATAACCCGTGCTTCTCTTCCCAGGGATGACCTCCAATACGATCACGCCAAAGCTGAAGACATCGGATTTCTCAGAGAAGACGCCGTCTATCGCGTACTCCGGCGACATATATCCACTGCACACACAGGCCGACGGAAGCAAAATCGGTAACGATGAGATGATCAAACGATAGAAGATTCGGGATTCGATTATAACTTACAATGTTCCCACGACCTTCCTAGTATTTCCTTCGGTTTGGTTTATTTCAAATATTCTCGCCAATCCAAAATCTGAGATCTTGGGGTTCATCTCGCTGTCGAGGAGTATGTTACTCGTCTTCAGATCTCTGTGTATAACACGCATTCTTGAGTGGTGATGCAGATAGAGAAGGCCATCGGCTATCCTTTCGATTACAGTGAAACGCTTCTCCCTGCTGAGTTCTGCCGATCTAGCTGTTTCTCAGTAGTAAAACAAAACCCAATTAATTAATTATAAAAATTGCCAAGTTTGGATCCTTCTGGTAGAATGGATTCATAGAACTTCAGGGAAGAGAAGCCCACCGAAGATGAGCTTGTCGAGGCTCTTATTGGGCATGTATTCGTAGATCAGAATCTTCTCGTCTTGGTAGGTGCACCAGCCCAGCAGACGAACGAGATTCTTGTGTTGGAGCCTGCCAATGAGTTTGACTTCATTGGCGAACTCGTGGTGACCTTGCATGGAGCTCTTGGAGAGCCTCTTTACAGCTACCTCATGCCCACTCGCTAGCTTCCCCTGAAGAGAGTGTCACATGTACATGTCCTATATAAATATATCTATATATTTGTATGTACATCGAGAAAGAAAGAAAGGTGGAGAGAATGAGCGATTCATCCTACGCGGTTGGTGGTAATAACCTTGTAAACGGAACCAAATCCCCATTCGTCGAGCTTGTTCGAGTCTGAGAAATTACAGGTCGCACACCGTAATTAGGGGCGCATCCGAGAGGCCTTTGTCGCTTTCAAATGTGTCACAGAAGTCAACGTCCTCTAACAAGATGCTGTTTCTGGACGTCCTCTTCCGGGCTTTGAGACGTATAAATTTTTCAGTTGCCCTACCCGTTCTTGGTAGAAAATAACATACAGGAGAACTTATTACCGCGTGATCTGAGTCTCTTCACGAGGAAATAGGAACCAGCTCCTATGAGGAGTGCACCGACAGCTAGTACCGGTGGCAGGAATTTGACTAATTCCTCGCTCTTATCTGCCAACAGGATCACAGAATCATGTTGGTTTGTCATGTGAGTGCTATAATAAAAACTCATGCAACAAATTGAAATCATGCTTACCCAGCTCTGATGCCTCCAGCCGTATGTTGAGGTTGCTCCCACCGGTTTGGAGGATCACAAGATCTATGAGATCTCCGCTCCAAACCAGCCGTCTGGGCCTACGCGAGCAGTGCATTGGTGACTTGACAGGCACTCGACCTTGCAATCGGCTTCACTCATGTTTCCTTTCATCATCCACCTATCCGGCAGCTTCAGCCTCTCTGCCAGGAGAAACTTGTCTCCCATACTAAACAAAAGCGGAGCCCTCCTGACGCAGCCGCCGGTGAAGTTTTTCTTCGCCCACTCGGTCTGGTTCTTCGGATCAAACCCCTGTAGGCACCTGCAGGCCGGCAATTTCGCGCTGCCATCGCAAGTGCCGAACGGCCCGCAGCGACTATAGATGTCGCAGAACGCACTTGTTCTCGCCCATAATGGCACCCAATCATTCCTTGCCTGCATCCACAGCAGCATCTTCAGCTCTCCAGAGGGCTCCAGAGTGAACCTTGCTGGGGCAGAGGCCCCAATGATGCTGAAATTGGAAAAGACTTCATCTTCCAGCCTTGAGAACTTGATCACGCACTGAACTCCACGTACAGAGCTTGCTCCCCAGGCCCCGACGCTAGAATGACCTGCCAAAACGGGGCTTCTATAGAAGGTCTGGTTTCCCCTCCAGATTTGAATTTGGAGATCGATCACCACGAAGAAGTCTCCGAAAGAGGGGTCGTCGGCGTCCGTCCACGCGATAACAGACTGGGGTACGAACGTTTTCTCGTTGTAGCGAATCTTCGTCTCCGGCAGAATAGTGTTGGTGGGGTGATCGAAGCTCTGCCAGACGTCCTGCCCGTTTCCTTGTCTCAGAACTAGATTGCCCGAGTCCAGAAGCATGGCCGCAGCGCCGCTGGGACGTTGGCCACGTCCGAGGACCAGACAGAGCTCCCATTCGAGTCCACAACGGCGATGTTCCTGTCTTCGGTCACGGTCAGGAACGCGGCGGAGTCGCTGAGAGGTTTAATCCTGTTAGCAACCCACACCACAGTCCTTTTGGGGATCTTATTGTACCATATCCCTAGGTAGCGAATTTTTCTCCCGAAGGACACGTTACCTGACCGAGCACCAGTACGTCGCGCGCCGCCGTCGCCGGAAGGTGGGGGGGCGCTATTGTGGACAGAAGAAGGATGAGGATGGAGAAAGAGTGCTCACCCATTGACCCGCAGTCTGGTACACACAGGTTTTCCGCTATATCGTCTCTAACCTCCTATCAAGGAAAAATGTGGAGAGACAGAGATGAGAAAGGAGAAACCGCCTCTCCATTTTAGACGGCGGAATTCAGATGGGCGAGCACCTTCCACCTCTCGAACGGAAACTAGCGCACTGGTTTCCAGAAGTAACATTTTCGAATTGACGTCCTTCGCCCCCCTTCCCGAGTGGACCTCTAATCATCCGGTTTGCGAACTCCGACGGCCGAACACGGGCTCTTACATGGTTCACCCATCTTTCCAGGGGCGGAACTCCGGGGGGCTATATAATTCACCAGCAGTCGCTGACCGTTGATTTTGCTTCTTCTCAAGACGCCGACAAACTTCTGCCGGGGTTTCTAAGGAAATGTGATGGGTTTCGGAGTTGCCACGTCATCACAGCCAGCCACGTCATTATCAAATGACACATCATCCCTACAGCTGACGTGTCATCGCCACATCAACGCTTCGTTTGGTGAATCGACTCTTCCCCTTCATTTTGCATAAATATCTCTGTAATGATGATTAAAAGAAAAAAGAAAAGAGAGAAATATTAGAAGTTTGTTAGGTTGAGATTAACCAAATTCGCCCGATTTAGGGTTTGGTCGCGAGAACGACCGTCGCCCCCGTCAGTGGATTGGTCATGAGGAACCCGTCAACCCAGTAGGGTTGGTTGGTGGAGAGGACCCTGTCGCCCCGGTAGGGTTGGTCGTGAGGACCCCGCGCTTCCAGTCGGAGCTTGTGGCTCGAGACGCCACCGTCATGCGTCCTCCGGGCGCCGCCGCCCTTCTCGCCTCCTCGGCTTCACCCCTTCTCGCCTCCGGGCGATAAGTATCATCTCTGTCCCTGATAAAAATAAAGCATTATCTAGCACTACAAATTGAAGTGTGTGAATCTTGATTGCTCTTGTCCAATTTTAATTAAAAGATGGCCAAGAAAAAGCCCAAATTGTGAAGTCACTTAAATTGTGTGAGAACTAAATTTCTTACTCGGCGTCCAGTCCATATTGGAAGAGTACAACTCCAAGAGTACCCAATATCAGAAAGAAACAACGGCAGATTGCAGTGTACTTTATATATTTCCATCATTGAGACATACGTTATACGTATCTTAAACAGGAGTAAGAGCGCATTGATATAAAAGAAGGAAAAATAGCAAGCTAATGTCTACTTGCTCATAAGGTGGCATCTGCCCAACATTTTCTCTTGTTTAAGACATGATTTGCGACCAGTATCTTCCAAAATATTTGTTTTTATTCTGTCTACTTCAGGCTTTGTACAGAAATCTTGAAGTAAATGTTAAATTCAAAAGTAGTCAACAAGGCTGCCTCTTTTTTAGTGAGAATGGTCAAAGTTTGGCAATTCAGAAATCCACGATGGTCAAAGCCGGCGATAATTAGATGCCTTAAGGAGTGATATGGGACCGGGAAAGCTCCCAGGGCCTCTTCCTCTTTCCTTGGCAGAGATGATTAGAAAACGAGCGCGTAAAGGATGAAAGCCAGGTAGGGAGGCGGTGTTGTCTTATAGAACGCCGCCGCAATAGGGCAGACACTCAGCCACGACTGTAAGAGGATGGTCAGTGCATCATATAACATATTTCAGTGACTGGATATTCGCACACATCAAATTTCAAGAAACGCCCTGTTTTGATCCGAATGATCGTATCCTACCGGCGTTGTCTTATACTCAGCGACCTCTATTTGGCCTCATCTGTTCCGCGCTCGCTTTCTGAATATCTCTTCCATAGGAGTAGTGTGACACCCCCGGAATCTCTCGACCGGGTTGAACTGGGAGAGACAGCCCCCAGAATCTTTCCATGGTTTTGAGCATTATTTTACTTCAAGAGAAAAGATCTCTACTTGTACAATGTAACTTTGATGTGAGACTAAATATTTTTCAATTGTGTGTAGGGCTTACTTAGGAGCTCAGAATATTTTTCAGTTGTGTGTAGACCATCAAGATGGTTTTCAGTTCAGTTGCTAAAAAACTTTCGATGTGAGACTAAATATTTTCATTCATTGTAGGGCAGCAGTTTGGAGTGTGGTATGATCTAGTAGCACTTAATGGGCCACATTACCAAATACAGGAGATCCAATGACAAGCAAAGTGCCATGACACCAAAAGCATAAAGTAATCCATTGGCGATTTGTGAATCCAGCACCACTCAACATGCACGTGACCAAAAATAATGATCCAACAACAAGCAAAGCACCATAGTACCAAGGACCAAATATATCTGATTCAACAACACACAAGGTGCCACGATACCAGAAACTTTAGTTCTCGCATCTATCACCATCAAAGATATAAAGATAATAATCGATTATTACCTAGTAAAATAGATATTATTAATTATCTTTAAAATTCTAATGGTAGTCACAAATATAGCATCCGTTCTTCTCTCTTTGCATGTGATCAATGCCTCCAACAATCAACGAGCTCGTTCCTTCCTCTCCTAATTGCACTCAAAGCCTCTAGCAAGTGGTCAACTCTTCCCTTCTCCCCCTAGATGACAATAATAGTATGGTCAACCATTTTTGTTAGTAAATCTCTCTAGCAAGCAGCACAATACTTCTAAACAATACTTTTGTGACTTTCAACATGATGTGGCACATCTAAATGAAACTAAGCCACCACTTTAATATCTCTAATTGCCCAAGAGGCAGACTAAATTTGGGCAATAATTTATTTCTTACTTTGTTCATTTATTTATGTACTTTCAACATTTATTTGTATCTTAAGATAAATTAATTTCATTTCATATATGTCTTG